TTGCCACTCGAAAAGTTGAAGCAACATTGTGGATTCTTTCATGGTTGATATTAGTAATGCAAGTCAATTGGCTCCAACTTTATATTATGTACCAAAAGGGTTAACATCTGATAACCAAAACATCATTGTGTGCAATGCCATTGTTGAAAGATGAATTTGGGTAACTGAAATTTCCAATTTATGTCTTTGAGTTCCAATTATTTTTCTTCGAAACATCTCGGGAGAGAGCGTGTGAAAAAAAAAAGTAAAAAACATTGTATTTTGCTTCACCGGCATTTTAGGATACACTAGATGTCCCAAACAAAATTTGGAAAACCACTCTCTAGGTCCCCGTGTGTGTGTGTATATTATTTTTCCATATTGCTTGTGAAAAGCTTTCATTGTGAGTTTATAAGCACATTGGGCAATATTGACTTACAAGTTAACTCCTTCGGGGGTTGTCGAATTGGTGGAGCAGGCGAACACGGAGATCAAAGTTTGAATTTTCTGTCAACACTTCCTCGATCGAGTCCGTCGCACTAGCTTACTTAGTACAGTTTACTTCTCCTGTATAGTTTGTGGGCTAATGCACATGGAGCGAGATTTATTTAGTGCGTATTCACAGTGGTCAGTCCTCCGCCCTTTAAGGTGGTCAGGGTTCCGTTGACGAGTAGCGGCTATGAGTTCCTACGTCAACAGAAAAAAATATATATATTAACTTGCAAGTTTTTAAAATGAGTTTTCTCCGACGCGATGATTACTATAGGTATTAGAGTTACACCTTGCTTGGGGTTTAAACGTTTTAGGAGTTTTTAAAATGATTTCTTCCCAAAGGAGTATGTAGCATGTCATTTTTAATTATCTAGGGTTTAAACGTGTAAAGTTCAGACGGCCGATTGGGCAGATTGAGTTCTTGAGAAGCTTGTCAGAATTTTTCGTTGATAGAATCTCGTGTAGAAAATTCCAGTTATAGTGTTTGGTGCTCAAAAGATTGAAGACAAACTATAGAAGCATCTTGCTTCCATTTTCTAAAGGCCCTGAATTATAATACATTTCAAACACTTGTAGCATCCAAAGTTGAATAATATTATTTGTCATTCTACGTGACATAAAATGATAGACTTAGAGTCCATGTTATTGAACGTATCATTCAATATCATTGATATCATCACATAAGTGATGGTAAAATAGCATTGCTCAACTTAAAAATGTTATCTCGTGAATAATATCTCATTTTTCTTCTTATGAACCGTATAAATTGCTTCGTATTGGAATTGGAGGACCTAATCGCACTCTTAATATTCGTATATACTTTTTGCAATCAAGCAATCTTCAATGAGCAAAGAACATGTAATCTCGTCCATTACTTACATCATTTAGGCTGTGTCTGGTAGCCATTATTAGACCAATTAAAATCAAAATTTCAACTGTTATCTACCAAACCAGCAGCCATTTTTGATTGCTTGGGAGAGGGGGGGGATCCACCAGCTGACTGTAACGGAATGGCTACCAGACAAGCCCTTAATCTTTGATCGAAATTACTTGAAAGCTCGAATATGATTCCAATAAAATAAATAAATAAATAAACAAGTTGGGGACCGACACACTACAACTCAAATAGGTTGGGACCTTACTTACAATTTTACCAACATTAATGTGTCAAATGCATTTTTAATTTTACAACCGCGCTACACTTACAGAACATCTTTCACAGAAGTTCTACAGATGACGTGGCAGGGGAAGGGATTTAAAAGGGGGGAAAAAAAGAAGAAACGCTGGAGACCGTTCCTTTGAAAATCCCATTCGTTCCTGTCTTTAACCCTGGAGATCGCCTCCTTCTCCACCTCCGTCCGGCGATGAACAGTTGGCTGGGTTGTAATCCGTCTCCGCCTGAAGCTATCTTGCTTCCCCAGGTTGTCGATTTGAAACCTTTCAAACCATGGACGCCCGAAGCAGGTAGACGACTATCACCGCCAGCAAGTAGACGAAATCTCGACATCGTGTCATCACCGCCAGCAAGTAGGCTCCTTCCGTGCACCATCAATTAGTTGGCAGCA